CAAAATAAAGAAAGCATTCAAATTCTCCAAGTCTGATTTTTTTTATGCAAAGCTTCAAATATCTGTATCCCAAAGACTTATTTCACTTATTTTATAATGTTTGGTCAGATTATAGTTAACTTGTACAGTAAATCATTCACAGGAGTGGGTTGATAGAGCACAAATAAGTCTTAACTAACTCAAAATGTAATAAATAGTCAAATTATGAATGTGACAGACTACAGTACAGTACATCAAATCCTTCAAGAGATATATTGATTTCAAGTAGAAACTAACGGAATATGGACATACAGTACTCATAAGACAGTGATATCCCCGTAAGCTAGAATAGTTGGTGCAGAGCTCTTCCGGATATTGAGACGAATTTTCTCTTCCCCAAAAAAATCACATATCCCCAGAATTTTTTCGGGTATAGGGGAAAGTTTTCTGAGAGTTTAAACTACACATATCACATGGAAAGAAGCTATCGCACATCCCCAGAATGTTTCCGGGTGCCGAGTAAAGTATTCCGAGAGTTTGAAACTACCGTATGCATCTCGAACGGACAGATACAGAGCTTCATTTATTTACGCAAACACCACTGTACTGTACACTTACAATATATTGTAAATAAACGAAATAGTATATAAACTACTTTACTGCATTTACAGTACAGTACTGTACCATCTACTGTAGCAGGTGTTACTGTCACTCTCCTCTCCCTCCATGAAGGAGAGATTATATATGCACTTTATACAGTACCATACCATACTACAGGGTATACATACACCTCTACACCCTAACCTACAGTAGGCATACACCGACCTCTCTACTATGTACAATACTGTCTGTACAGTTGGTTAGTCTTACCCATTTTTAAAGAAGAATATACACAGTACAGTATATTAATACAGCCTTTGTGATACAAGCTAATTTCTGATTTTATAAATCTAACTAATAATGCCATACTTCTTATACTGTACATGTGATGCCACTTGAGTGGGAAATAAGAAAAACTAAGTAATTTTCTAGAATAACTCTGCATTAATAAAAAAAAAGGAATTAAGAAGATTATTTTGCTCATGTCCTCCTTCATAAATGATTTACTGCCATAGTTTCTTGAAGAATATTAACAATATTAAGATGATATTATTCCTATGCATATTAAATGAGATTTTGATGAACTATCACACTTAATAATACATTAACAATACTGTATAATCTCTCACCAATATACTGTACTGTACTTTACATCTACAGTATTCTCAAGTTGACGTGAGTGAGCGGAAGTAAGAATGAAAAAATGCTGCATTAAAGTTACGTAGAAAACATTAAATATGTACACAGACAAGAGTGTCCAAGCATTAATGACATTCTCCAATCTGTTAGACCAGGGGTCACCAAACTACGGCCCGCAGGCCGGATCCGGCCCGCGACGTCAGTTCATCAGGCCCGCCGACGGTACTTGAATTTGCTTGATAAAACGTATGGAACACGAGACGTTGTGATACAATTTAAATTTAAATATTATGCGGCCCGCGCTCGTCATTCTTTCAGTTATCCGGCCCACTGTGAAAAAAGTTTGGTGACCCCTGTGTTAGACAAAGGCATTAAATCATATATGAAAGATGAGAACAACATAAGTAACCCAACCTAATAATCTTAACAACGTACCGTACAATAATCTCCCCATCAGATAGATTCCTTGGTTCCCAGAACTTTCCAATACCCAGTACTGTAGCAGGAATTGATTTTGAGCCAGAACAATTCAGGGAAAACTCTCTCCATTCTGGGTATAGGAGCGAGTTTCCGAGGATGAAAATCTGGTGTATTTTCTGGAAAAATTCCCAGAGAATCTCTCCAAACCTCCGTTCCGGGATTTCTGTAAAATTGCATCATGCTACAACACTTCCGCACATTTCCCCACGTGCCGGGCGCATGGGTGGGCTAGCTGCTTGAGTAACTTGTGTGATTAGTTCGTATTCTGCTGCCATTGTACAAGGTTGTTCTCTGGTTCACTGCTGTTTTGGCATACAATTTGTGTTGTGTAGTACAGTACTGTATATCACTGTACTGTACTAGGACACAATCAGCCAAGAATACAGTGTTAAAGTAGTGTTAAGACATAAAAGTGATTACAGTTATGTATACTGTACTGTATATTCAGAAGAGTGGACAGTGAAAGCCTACTGTAGGCTAGTGTTTAGTGATGTATGTATAGTACATTACTGTATACAGTGCATATATAATCCCTCCTTCATGGAGGGAGAGGAGAGTGACAGTCACACTTGCTACAGTAGATGGTACAGTACAGGACAACAGCAGGCCATCCTGTACAGGTATCGTCATATCTACATCACAAGCTCAAGACGAGAGCATCTGCTAGCAGTACAGTACTGTTTATACTGTACTGTATAGTAAAGTAGTAGTACTGGGTATACATTATTTTATTTATTTACAATGGTGTTTGCATAAATAAATGCAACTCTTGTCTGTCCATGCAAGATACTTAGTTTAGACTCTTGTAAGACTTTCTCCAGGTCCGGAAACATTTTGGGGATCTGCAATTGCATATGTCATTGCGAGATGCATAGCGTAGACCATCGGAAACCTTTCCCCGGTAACTGGAAAAATTCTGGAATGTGCAATATTTTCCGGGGAAGAGAAAATTCATCTCGATACCCAGGAATCTCTCCTTCACGGAAGAGCTCTGCACCAATTATTCCAGCTAATGGGGAATAACTGTATTTTATACATATTCATATCTTAATCCTCAAATAATCACTGATTATGTATCTTTTAAATAACTGTTCATCACATAAAACAGTGCATAAGAAATCAAAGGTGGTGTCTATCACCTCTGACTGGCCCCGAGATCACATACATTATATAAGTAAATACTCCTTACATGAACAAGCAACTGTGTGATTAGCATCTCAGGAAGGTTAAAACAAATCATTGACTTCAAGAAAAATTATGACAAACTGTCACAGAACCATACTGTATATAATTATACCAAGAATGTACCACTGAATATTATAATTCCTTCCTTAACTTGAAAAAATACTGGTTGTAGCAGCACTCAGTATAAGTAGCCTGTTCCTGATTATTTCATACATATGTGAAGATTTGTTTTAAGTTACTGGAGTAACTATACACACTGTTACGTAAACAGTCTCTTTACCATTATTTATATCTGAAAATTTTGTTTCATTCACAAAATACTTATAAAAGATATACAAAATACTGTACTACTGCATTAAGTGATTTAGTGGTGATAAAATGAACCAACCTAAGCTACCTAGGTTAGGTTAGGTGTATTAAGCCAGGTTAGGTTAGATAATATTGCATTAATGAGTATAAAATAAAGAACGCCTTGGTTGACATTTATTGAAATGGCTAATATTCCACAAACACCAGCACATGAGCTTTAATCATAAGCTGGGGTCGTTATGAGCCTAAGTCATATGCCAGTGTTTGCGGAAATACGGAACAATTGTCCAGTAGACGAGTACAGTGAGCAGACTCGGTTAAGTTTGGTTCTTTTAGTTAAAATTTTAATTCCACATTTCCCTCGGCTTCAAAACCCAGTTCACCTTTGGTGGGGGTCAACATTAACAAAATATGAAGAGTCATAACTCAATAATTTAATAATTTCTCCAACCTTTCCATATCAACACTGTATGCAGCATGAAAAACTCCATTAAAAAAGTTGTTTTATCGTACCTAAATAATTTTTCGTTATTCGAGAAATTATTACCGGCAGGATTGGAAACATTTCAGAGTACCAGGTACAGCTACATAATGTAATTGGCATCATTAAATGAACCTACCTAACCTACCTAACCAGAGGCTAAGATTCCGGAGTGACCATGCACGGAACTTTATATTGATTCTTATACTGTATTGGGAGAACAAGAAAAACTGAGAAGACTACTTTACTCTAAAGGGATTACATTGGAAATTTATATTATTCAAGTTATTTTCAATTTTCAATTTCACTTCAGCGACTACAAATTCGGGGGGATATATATTTACTTCTTACTCATTAATCTTTTTACTTTTACCCTCTTCGCCACTGATCGGTCACTGAACGATAACATTTAATATATAATTAAGTAAAAAATTATACCAATTGATTCATATTCAGCGGAAGTGCCGACGTCGTGTGATACTCGTACACATGTGCTTATCTTTGTTTTCGTCGGAAACTTATATTTTTCAAGTTTCCTCTTACTCATCGATATCAAGTTTGGTTTCTATAGATTCCTTTATTTTATCGTTGAGTTAGGTTAGGTTTACACACTGGAGTCAAGTAAGGTTAGGTTAGGTTAGGTTAGGTTAGGTACAGTAATTTATTCCTATTCTTTTCTCTATCTTCCCATATAAAAATCAATATAAAGTTCTGTGTATATTCACTACCGAATATTTAACTAATTTATATAAGTAATAATAATGTTTAGGTGAAGCTCAAGATTAAGCAAGTTAGGTTAGGTTAGGTTAGGTTAGGTTAGGTTAGGTTAGGTAGTTTAGTTTAATTTTATAGGCGATAAATCAAAACAAGATTATTATTTACTTTATAATTAGTAAATTTATATCAATTAATACCAATTACATATTAGAAACTGGTCCATTTAGTTAAATTTTATATTCATTCATATTCAGCCCAATTTTGTGCTTCCCCAAACCCCATTTTGACTCATTTCCAACAATAAATAAAATATGACGGTCATTCCAGCTCTTTAAAAACCCGTATCGTCATTTTGTGTTTTACTTTTAATGGCCCTTTAATCATATTTGTTTTATAATTGTTCAGTTTTTACTAAGGTACTGCAAACAAACCCCGATTAAAATCACTGATAAAGCAACTACCTTAAACTGTACAGTATTTGTGTTATTTTCTTACTATAAAAATTCATTATTTTTTGTTTTGAAGCATTGGTAACACTGCTTAGTTAAATGTAAACAAACAACAGAATGTAAACAAACAAAAGTATTTAAAGAGTTAAAGAGTTACTTACACTGTGACTCCCATGTTTGTTTATATTTTGGTGGGGCTTTAAATCGTATTCGACAACATATTGTTTAAAAAAATTAGGAAAATAATTTTAAACACAAATATTTATCTATAACATCTTCTGTATATATTTTATTTTATTTTTTTAATATAATTGGTAAAATCTACTACAAATTATCAGCAAATCCTATTAAGTTTGGAAATAAAAATATAAATATCAGTAGTTCGGCACTTATCGAACATCTACCATGTTTACGTCAGTGGTGGGTTAGTGCTCTCTAGTGAGTGGTGGAGGAACTACCGCCGACCTGCCGCTCCGCTACTGACATCTGTTGAGCTTTGTAAGAACTTATCCCTACCCAGTCCTTCCCATTCCAGTGTTAGCAATTACGCCACCTATCGCGCTGTTACAATTTACTGTTTGAATCCATAAAACAAGCAAAGTGTAAAAATCAAAGATCAGGAATATTATTGTGTTATATTTCTTCACAATTTTAATAATAGTTTCGACTTGATATTTCGAAAGAGGAACTAATGTCAGCTGAGCTTTTACTAGTTAATCATTGGCAATACTGTCAGTCGCTCACTGCGCCGGCCCACTCCACCCGCTGATGGGAAAAGCAGGTTGCCGTTCTTTTTATCTCGATTTTTGATTAGGAAGTGTTTTGTGATGTCCTGTCGATTAGGAACTATACTTCCAGTGATATGTAATGCTGTAGTACAGTGCACGATGTGTTGTGAAGCCAGGAAATGTTTAACGGCGTGTAATTAGAGGGGTATCTTGTGAGCTACGGGCCCTCCCCTCAGCCACATTGTGTACCATTGATCGCGGCTGCAGTAGTGTCCCCTCGGCCAGTGCGAGCGGCGACAGTGACAGTGTAGTGAGGAAGTGATGACAGTGTGTTGTGCTAGGCAGTGATGATTATGGTGGCATGTCTCGCGACGTGTATGGCGGAGGTGGTGGGGGAGCCGGGGTGCCGAGCAGCAGGTCGCCCCGACCCCAGCGTCGCGACCTGAGCTCCGACCCTTACTACCTGGACCAGGGCGGCCACCACCGCGCCCACAGCCCTCAGCCGTCAGCAGCCGCGCGCCGTAGCCGTTCCGCCACCCGTGCCGCATCCCCGACCCTGGCGCTGGACCAAGGCGGGCCATACATGGACCCCCACGCCACCATGGAAGCGGACCGCCGCAGCGGATCAGCACCAGGTACCCACCACCGTAGCCGTAGTCAAAGCCGCAGTAACGTAGGACGCAACTACCACTCTCTGGACCGCGAGGCTCACGACCGTGAGTTTATGCCAATTCGTGACCCCCGAGACCGCAGCATGGAACGAGGGGGCGCTATGGACATTCACGGGGTTCAGGGTGGCCACATGGCCCGCCGTGACCGCTCACTGGACCGCGGTCCTATGCTGGAGGACGACCTCTACCGTGATCATCACTCCATGGGCAGGGCGCGGGCCAGCCCTAACCCGGAAATTAGTGGGCGTCATGGGCCAAGCACCCTCGGGGGCATGGGCCGGGATGGGTATTTCTCAGAACTTCAAATGCACAATTCAGACCTTCAGAAAGAACTCGGGAACTTGAAAAAAGAACTGGAGTTAACGAACCAAAAATTAGGCTCGTCGATGCACTCCATTAAAACTTTTTGGTCTCCCGAGCTGAAGAAGGAGCGAGCCCTGAGGAAGGAGGAGAGTGCCAAGTACTCCCTCATCAACGACCAGCTCAAGCTCCTCAACTCAGAGAACCAGGTAGGTGTCTGCCCCTCCACCTGTGCACTCACCTGTCTCATTGATCCACCCCCTCACTCTACTACCACGACCGTCACAGTATTCACATGTCTTCGTGCGTATAAATGATCTTTGATGTATGAACCATATGTATAAAAATGTGTAAGTATATGTTCTTTACGAGACGTAGATCATGTTAAATCACAATCTCTCACTCGGCGTAACCTACACCTATTGAAATGTGTTCGTATGTCTCCGTGTTTATATGTAATCTATGGAGCTACACACCCATAGGATGTATCTTGCCTTTGTTTACATTATATATATTATTGTTCTTTGTGAAGACATAATAATGTTAATAAACAACGGTTTCTTTCCTCGTGGTCAGTTACATCTCTGTGCATGTACTTTAACACTGCTCCTTGAATAGGTCAGTGGAGTAGGGAATCCCTACTCCACTGACCTATTTGTTCAGGAGCTGAGCTAACAGGATCTGACTCATATTAAATATATTTTTTTGTTAGGTTGTCAAGAGGAAGCTAGATACATGGTTGCATTTGTCTGTACGTTCTTATTTTTTTCTTCATATTATTATAATGGCCTCAATATATTTACTCTTCCAGTTGTCTTGAAACTTCCTTCAGGTTTGACTACATTTAGTTTTCTTAGATTAGGATTAAATACTTCAGGAGTTGGGTTAGGTTAGGATTAATTATGTTATGATAGGATTAGTTGGACTAGGGGTTAGTTGGGTGAGGTTAGCATTAGTTAGATTAGCATTAGTTAGATTAGGTTACGATCAGATAAGGGTTTGGTTAGGTTAAGTTTGGTTATCATAGGGGTTGATTAGATTAATTTAATTTTTATTAGATTAGTAAGAAATTATAATGCGATTGAACTTTGAGACAATCGTCGTTTACTTAATGGTTCCTTGGGATTCATTATAGGTGTTTAAAGTTGTCATTACCTGAACGAGTAATTACAAAATTATCGTCTCAACAAATCATCATAAGTTATTATTTAGAGGGCGAAGCATTATGAAATTATCGTTAACTTAGCGTGTCATTAAAATAATCGTTTATCATTTGCAATTTATTATGCTAATGCCGCGGTCTGCTGGTCGAATTTTCTCGACATTTAAAATTTATTGTAAAAAAAATATCAACTTTATATTATCACCAGTAACTAACAATAATCTACAAGTTATCATGCTAATAACCATAATAATATCAGTTTTCTTAAAGGTTATCATGTTATGCGTGACTTATTATGTGGAGAGTTATTATTTCCCTAGTTAATCCCAGCTTAACGAAGATTGGGGAATGTATTGAAATAATTCCCGTCTCTCCTAGCAACTGAGAACTCGGACTAATCACTAATAACTATGAATTTAGAATGAGTAGTTAATTTTAGCCCCTTCCTGACTTATCCACAGCTCTACTAGGCCCCCCTACCTGACTTACCCAAACCCATTAGGACTCGTCAAATATACTGTAGGACCCCAATCCATTTATCCTGTTACCAGTTAAATGTAATTTGATAAGCCATTCAGAGGTTGATGATCGTCTGTAAATGCAATAAGTAACACCGTCTTTTTTTTCTTTGACTAGATAATTAGCGATAATTTTTAACTCGGACAATAATTTCGGATAATCAGAAGACAGATATTTAGGCTAATTACCCAGGCAATTTCTTATGTAGGATAATCCCTTACCCCGTCATTGTTTACGTCGGTTACAAAATATTTATGAGGGTTACTAGTGAGAGGTTGATTCTGTTCAGATAAAAACCAACATAAATATCTCAAGAGTACTAATTTTTTTTGGTTATTTATTTACTCCTTGCCAGTGGACTAACTCAAGTGACACTGCCAGGCTAGTGATGTTTTTTTTTTCCCAGTCCAAGAGGTGAAATAACATACTTTACGTGTTAGGATGGTGTCTTCTGGGTCTTGTAATCATTGTTTGTTTTTCTCCCAGACACGCACTAAGTATGCAGCCAATGATTTAATACCCATAGTTACGAGCTTAATCACTCTAGCAGCTCACTTTACAACCTCACTTCATGTTACTAGTATGGTGAATTTGTTGAGCGGAAAAATTAGTGGTAAGAGGAGGTAATGAGGAGCATGTAGGGTTGTTTTTTGGGGGGTTAGGTCCGTGTGGGTGGGGGGGTGTATTGAGGAGGCTCTGTCGTGTGCGGGGGAAAAATTATCTCTGTTCGCCAGTCAGTTAGTCAGGAAAGGCGTTCATGGAGCTGGCTAACGCAAGGAAACATGACAGATGAGCAGAAAAAAAATGTTCAAGGGATGAGGAGGGCTGGGGTGGGGAGGAAGGGCGGGATAGGGAGGAGGGCTGGGGCGGAAGGGATAGGGGTGGAGGGCTGGGGTGGGGAGGAAGGGCGGGATAGGGGAGGAGGGCTGGGGTGGGGTGAGGGGAGAAGGGCGGGATAAGGAGGAGGGCTGGGGTGGGGAGGAAGGGCGGGATAGGGAGGAGGGCTGGGGTGGGGAGGAAGGGTGTGCTGGGGAGGAGGACCAGGCGGGGGAGTAAGGTTAGGCTAGAGAGGGGAGCCGGATCGGAGAGCAGTGTCTTGCTAGGAAGGAGAGCCAGACTGGGGAGGGGACGGGAGGGATGGGTGGGGTCGGTGGGGTGGGTGGTGAAGAAACAAGACCATGAAGGTAATTCCAGGTACAGTGTTGCCAAGGCCTTTGTAAGACACACACACACACTCGAGAACAACTGTCAGTCACACGTGGGAAATAATGAGGCGGAGTGCACTCATAACAGGCAGCTCCTACACGGTCCTGCCAAGACACTGTGGGAAATATTTTTATGATACTGTGAGGAGGAGTCTCTCTCTCTCTCTCTCTCTCCCCTTAAGGCACAGCTTTGTATCTTATTCAAGTCATTTTCTCAAGAGGAGTATTGAGCTAATAAGTTAAAGATGAACATGATTTATGTTTCTCTTGCAATTATTAAATTTGGTTTTTCGCCTCAGCTAAAACTGGAGATGAAGTTGGTGTGATTAATGAGCCACGGGTCGTTAAGCCATCAGTTATTGTCTGCTGTGGCTCTCTAAATCTTTCTGGGCTGTCGAGTTCAAGATATCAGTATGGACTTTTGTGTGTTAACTCTTAATATACTTTACGATCCTCATGTGTGTAAAAGATTCTTATGTTAATTTTTAGTTGTATTTGTCGTCTATAAACGTATTTCGTGACGTGACTTTCTGGATGTATTTCGTAGATGACGTGTCTTGACGTCCCCGACCCGCTTACGTCACTAGCTCACCACTAACCCCCTAGCCCCTCCCCCCTTCCCCTATTACAGTCTTATTATTATCCTCACAACGACCCTGATAACCAATTCATGACCAATTTCCTCCTCGAAACTTGGAATGTGGGGTCACTTAACTGGTCGATTCTAGACAAAGGGACTGTTATAACTAGATGTCTTCTGTCAGTCCTCAGTTACAAGATAATATTCTTTATTTACGAGCATTGAAACATTGGTAGTCTGGCGCTTTGAAGTTAGCAGGACCAACCGGCGGAGTTATGAAATATATCTTGATGTCATAAAGTTTGTTAATTGTTACAAAGTGACCATAATGGGTAGTAAATGAGCTAAATATAACCAAGGAAATTTGTACAATACTGCATGTTAGTCACGCCAGGTTGAAAGACAACATTTCAGATATATCCAATCTTATATTCGATACCGGTAGTTGTAAAAGTATTGATTTACTGACTCGTAAACTTATGAAAAAGGGGGAAAAAAGCCAATGGGACCCGACGACTTCCCAAGAGCTGCCGAGCAATCAACTGATTCATAATGATACGTCACGACGAGCACGCATCGCCAACACCATCAGCAGCAGTGAGGCATAAAGTAGGGTTTCTTTCCCTGCTCTCTGGAGGCTACGGCGATAAAACATTTATTTTAAAAGACGACACGAGCAAGCCTAACCTATCCCAAGGACCTTAGATTATTTTTAGGGCAGGTTGGGTTACTGTGGTTCGGGTTGTCTGTTGATATAAATGTTTCAAGGGATCTCTGACCCTCTGCACTCCGGGAGAGAACTCTGTCGCTCTGGGTAGGAAGGAGTGTTGTTGTCATCTGTTTATGGGAAGAAAGTATCGTTTTTGACTGTGGTTGTTAATATTATAGTGAAAGGTACAGGCGAACGTTTAGTGGATCACTTGTGTTCTTCTTAAGACTATTGTGATTATTAAACAACATCAGTTCGGAGTTAGACGACGATTTTAAAGGTAAGCCGTACTCGTGGGTTCTTGGATGACATGTGTTACCTGCAATTACATCCCATTTGGACGATCGTCTGTTTTATGTGATTTAACCTAACCTAACCTGCAGTCATTTAATAATGAATAGTTTGTTGAATTCTGCAGTGTACATATGAATTGGATTTTTACGATCATGTTGCATCCGTGTGAACTGGAATACAAAACGTCAGTGTTGACGGGTTTAATCCAGAATATATGTTTGTGTAGTAGGTACTGTGGAAAATGTTCAGGGTCAAAGTTGACACAAGGCTGTTTTGGGGCACCTTCTTGTGTACCCATAGGCACATTATAAACATCGGTACTTTCCTATTATATACCTGCAAAGAAAAGAAAAATAAGTTAGTCTTTCAACTAACCAAACTTAACCTAATTAAACCTAACCAAATCAAACCAAGCCCAATCTAACCTAAGACCGGAAATTAGTTTTTCAACTCAATTAACCAAGCCTAACCTAACCTAACTAATCTAATGCTGTAACATTTGCTATGTTTTACTCACTGAATCAAGAGATGATTCTGTCTCTAACAACCCCTTTGCTCTTCCTTCATTACACCGCCGCGTTAACACAAGCTTGTTGCGTGTGAGAAACAATCTTGTTGTTTAAACACATGAACAACTAAAAGGTGTGCGTGTGGGTTAACGCTGTTGCGCTTTCATCATGTCTGGCAAAATTTATAGTAAATAAAGAAAATGAGATACTTCGGCTATATAATTAGAGATG